GCTTTGCTATCGCCCATGGGAACATAACATTCTAACAATACGCTTTCTGCTTCTGTACCCCCGCTTGCACACCTGACCAGTGGGTGGACAGGTAGTGAATAGGAGAAAAACAGACCTTTGTGTTTAAGACAGAATGAGGAATGGGATTTAGGGCTTAAAAACCTTGTAACTCTACATTTCGGGGCTGCTTAATTTGGGGTTTGCATACCCCTGGCAGACCCAGCTGGCTGAATAAAGAGCACGTTTCCTATAACTCACTGATTTCTGGTGGTCCGTGTGTCTTTCAGGGGCTGGCGGCTACAACAGTATCCAGGAAAACAGGAGTCATTGAATAGATACTCTTCATATGCACAGGGCTGGAAGAATCCATTTTTTTTTTTTGAGAAAGGGGATGCAAAATCTTTTACATTTTATGACTCTAATTTTGGCACGGGCATGTCATCCGTCTCTCTATTTACCTATCTACCTGGTTATCGACCTACCTTATATTTTGGATAGAACACTAGACAAAAGGTGGGCACTGTTTATAATCCACTCATGAGAAATACCTAAAAAAGCAAACCCTTGGTGCTCCAAAACCTGGAAAGAGAAAGGCTCTGCACTGGGTCACTGCACCCGGTTACTAACCAGCCTCCGAATATCTCGCTCTGACTCCCACTTGATCTTCGAGATGGCTTCCTGGTGGGACTGATGCTCACTCCTCAGGTCTCCAGCCTTGATTTTATCCGCTTGGATCATATTGCTTAAAGCCTCGTCCACCTGCTTCTTGGCAGTTTTCAGGTCCGTAATTTCCTGTAAGAGCTTAAGGCGCTCCGCATCAAACAGTTTTCGAGCCTCCTCCCGGGCCTCAATGGTGAGCGCTGTCCTTACTTTGTCACTGCTGCCGTCCCGGAGGGCACACAGAGCCGATTTGAGCCTCTGGATCTCCCCATCCCGCACCTTCACTGTCCTTGACATTTCTTGCTCGTGCTGCTTGATGAGATTCTCCCTCACAGCCTGCAGCTCCTTCATCTTCTCCTCGTGGAGCTTGGCTTTCAGTTCTGTCACCAGGACCGTGTGCTTGCGCTGCTCCAGCTCACGAATCCTCTTTGCTTCTTGAGTCTTCTCTCTTTCAAGCTTAGATACCTAAAGGCAGAAAGGCAAAAGGATAAGAGAGATGAGCCTCAAAGGAAAGGTGTGCTCCCAGGCAGGATTTGCAGCTCAGGCCCCTGTGATCTCTTAATTCCTCATCTCTTTTCAAGTTCCAGGCCACTGTGTGCTTGGAGGAAAGGGAACCACAGGCTTTAAAGCTGGGAATACCGTGTGTAAAAGGAGGAAATCCCTAAGGATGCTTAAGTTACTTTGTTCAGACAAATATTTGATGTGCTGGAGCCTTACTATTCGATGTGTGGGCTGCAGATAAGCAACACACGCATCATACAGAAGCTTGTCGAAAATGCAGAATCCGGGGCTCCATCCCAGACTTATGAATCAGGATGTGCATTTTGATAAATTCCCAAGTGATTGGTGTACAGGTGTTTAGTTTAGTTTGTAAACTAAACACCTCTAGCTAGGTCCAAACTGATAAATGTGGCTGTCTCAAGATAGTTCATAGTTCAATATTATAATCAGACTAGTAAATTGTGCCTAAAGTAATATTATAAAATATTTCCCATTTTTTTCTTTTCTGTTAGAAGAGAAGATGCTGCTGCTAAGGGGAAGGTGAAGAGTGAAGACAATTGATATACTCTTCACCTCCGTTTCTTACTATGGCAACTTGGCCTCATCCCCAACTTTATACATACACCCACGCCAGCCCCCAAACCCTGCAGCCCACTGGGTCCTCTCTGTTAAAGAAGTTTAGCAGCTCTTGTTATTTCTGCATGCTCCATGGATGTCTCTTTGCACCCTTCTCTCTCCCCACTTTTATCTCCTTCTCTTGCTCCCCACTAAGCTGACACCATGTAGTTTAGCAAAGTATTCCTTCTAACTTTACCACCATTCAGGTATTCTGGTTAAAAAAAAACCCACATTTTGTTACAATGGTCTCCTTATGGATCAGCAATGGCACATCCTTAACCTGCCTGTGAGTCTGTCTCTGATTCAGCAGATCAGGGTGGGGCCCTGGCATTTATAGCTTGAAAAAGCCTCATGGTTCCTGTTCTACTGTCTTCTTCCCCTACCTCTTCTCTGCTGCTTGTCTTTGTTCCTCTCTGTCTCTGTCATGTGCGCGCACGCGCGCGCGCACGCGCACACACACACACACACACACACACACACACACACACACACACACACAGAGTAACCTGGAAAAAGGGAAGAATTGGGCAGCCCCAGGAGTAGTATCTCACTCAGTAATATCAAGCTATCAAGTCTCTGTCATTTGTAAAATCAGAAGCTTTCATAAAACAATTGTTAAGAGCCTTTCCAGCCGAAAAATGTTGACTTAAACTCCTTGTTGGAACTATTATAATGAAAGTAAAAATGTCTGAGATTTTACTTACCTTTATAGTTTACATACCTTTAGTTGGAATAGAACTTTCTATGCCCACATGACATTTTATGAATATTTTATTTTAAAGGCATGGCCATTATTCCCATGTTGATCCTTCTAAAAGGACTCGGAGCACAAGGAGACTTGGCATAATAAGCAGCCAGGCATCCTCAACAACCATCTTCCTCTTATCTTATACGCGCTAGAGCTGTGCTGTCCAGTACGGTGGCCACTAGTCACACTGAGTGCCTGGAATGTCATAAGCCTGAACTGACACTTGTTCTAAGCATAAAATATATACTAGATTTCAAAGACTTAGTGTGAAGTGAAGAATGTAAAATATATCATTAATAATTTTTTTATATTGATTACATATAGAAATTATAAAATATTTGGGGCAAATTAGGTTAAATAAAGTATATTATTAAAACTAATTGTTTCTTTTCACTTTTAAAATTGTGGTTACAATAAATTTTTAAATCACACACATGGCTTGCATTGTGGTTTGTACTACATTTCCCTCTAGAGGTCATGGAGGTTTATTTAATGAACCTAGCCTTCCCCACACAGGTGGTGATACTGTCTGTGTAAAGCCTAGTTCTGATCTGATTTATGGGCCTGCTCAAAAGTCACCCAGGGCTCCTTTATGATGTAGAATAAAATCCTAACACTTTAACTTTGCCTTCCAGGTAAATCTTTTCGACGATTTGATTGGACTTCCAGAGGCCACATCTACTCCTTACTCTTCCTCTCTGGGTGCAGGGATTATGCTACTTTTTGCACATGCCCTGCATTTCTGTACCTATGTGCCTACAGTTTCCTCTTCCTGACCTGCCTTTCCTCAACTCCTTTTGAGACTCTCTCATTCATTCCTCATGGCCCAGCAAGATGTACCTTCTCTGGTCCCCTTATACCCCAGGGCAAAGCTCATCTCCCCTGCCTTTGTCTCCTCAGTGCACTTTGCTAACACCTCCTTACTGGTCCTGTCCACATTTTTCTTTATGCTGTTTTCTTGTACACTTGTCTGTCCTCATTACTTCCTCTCTTACTCCCACCCAGATAGGAAACGCCTAGAAGGCTGTCAATGAGCCTCGATCATCTTTGTCTACCCAACAGTTGCCAGCACAACACATAATAAGGAGCCCAATGGTGTGTGCAGAAATACAGAACATGTGCCGATATGTTTCACTGACTTAGCCCCCCAATCAGAGGCAAGAATGGTATGTGCTGTCACTCACTTTAGAGAACACAGGCTTATAAGGTTACGCAGGGCAGCCCCTCACCCATCCCTTCCTTGTATAAAATAACAATAAAACAAAGACACCCCTAACATATAAGAATGCTTACTTGTCCTCTGCTTGATGTTTCTCTCAGTTCTTCTCTCAGACGGCCTAAATCTTACCCTCCAATTTTCCACAATAACAGAAGTGGGTATCTTTTAGTCCATGGGCAGGCAAACTATAGTCCATGAGCCAAATCTTTCCGCTCCGTTTTTGTGAACAAAGTTTCATTGGAACACAGCCATGCCTGTTCATTACATATTGCCTATGACTGCATTCAGCGTACAAGACAGTTGAGTAGTCTTAGTGAGACTGTCCCATAAAACCTATGATATTTACTAATTTGCCCTTTACAGGATCAGTTTGCTGATTCCTCTTCTAGATGGAAAAGAAATCTTTTTGTAAAGGGGGAGCCTTATTTTTCACCGATTTATTAACTGATAATTTATCTTCCATTTAGGACCCTGAAAAAAAGGCTTTAGCTCAAGTAACAGAAAATTAGTCAAATTCCATTTCAGTAGGATGTATTTACATTGAGCATCTGAAACAGCATCATGACCACAGGGCTGTCTGGTAACAACTTACTAAGGGATATTTTAGCAATTCTTCCTAGAATAATGAGAAATTATAGTTAAAATGGAGAAGGGTAAGGAATTTTGTATTTTGATTTCAATGAGAATAAGATATCCTTCTGAGGATAAAATTATACTTAAAAATACCTACAAGGAGTTGTATTTAAATTAATTAATGCAGGGGAAAATATCTTAAACTGTAAAGTACTATAAAATGTAAGGTATCATTACTGAGAATAAGAAGAGATAATCTAAAATAATTTATGTCAAATTCTCTGAAGGTACATTAGCTTATATTACTTTGTGATCCTATCACTTCTCTCAAATTATAAACTCTAATCTTTCACGCATAGACTGTAGAGACAAATGAAAAAAAAGTGAAAATACAGGTACATGAAAAATATATTCTAGCCTGAAGACAAAAACAAATACAAACAAAAACTGGCTTTCCAGTCCCTCATTTAAATGAATCCATAGAACCCAAACAAAATACAAAGGCACTGAATTATATTTGGCATCTATTATGTTCAATTATTTCTGGTTGTCATGGAAACTAGTGCTTTTGTAGGATTTCTAGGTATGACTGCTTTTTTAAGCATAGGATAAATGCTGCACTATAAAGGAGATAGAAAAAAAATGTAACTGACATTTGGAGAAAAAAGCCAATAAAAAATTTTGTAGTAAAATCATTTTTGGAAAATTATTTACGGCTAAAGAAAGAGATCTAATACCTTAATGTAAATTGTGAGAATGAGTATACAAAAAGACGAAGACTTATTCCTGAGTAATAATGAAAAAATATGAAGATGATAATGCTTTGAAGTGGGAAAAAATTATTTAGTAGAAAAAAGAATCAATTTCGATTAGTGGAAATGTTTCATGGAGAGAAATTTCAGCTGGTTCACATAACAGCATTTACTAAGGGCTTACTACACGAGTCAAGCACCTTTATAAAGGATTTACACGTATCAGTACTTTTAAACCTCTTCCGCAGCTCCGTGATGCAGGTAGCATTTGTTTCATCCTAATTTCAGATGAGAAAAGTGAGGAACAAGTCCAGTGTGGGCCAGGAACCAGGTCTGGGTCAGAGCCCAGGTCCACGTTTGCTCCGACCCCGTGGGGAAGCTGCCACGCTTCTCCACGTTCTCGTCCATAAACTGGGGTTGGTGTTACCTCACAGGCATTGTGAGGCCTCACTTAGGTAACGTATCAAAAGTACTTCAGGAAGGTTGGACCACATGGGAGATTGATAATTATTAATATATTGTAGACAATACAATATTAACTTTGATAAATATCATTTTATATTTTAATATTATATCATGCAAGGCTATATGAATACCAACATAAATATACATACCCATATTATTGTGATGACTAACATTATTATTATTGCCTTATTAAGACTGTAATAACTGTTTTCCTAACAGAAATCAGTGTCTAAGGGTAATATTAGGTTTCCTCAGGATGTACTGAGTTCCCTGACATGGGTGGCATCTAATCTGAACCTGGAAGATGCTTGGATGATATGCACACAGAAGGAGTGGGGTGTGGAGTGGGACAGGACAAAGAGGTAAGTAAGCAACGAACAGGGATTTGAATGATACAGCCCCCAAATCCCTTCTACCTGAGACGCTTTCTGGAAAAATAAATAAATAAATAATAATCATTCGAAAAATCCCAGTGGGGAAAGCTTAGGCTACGACAGAAGGAAAGAAATTCACGACGACCTCACACAGGCCTCATACGGTATTTTGCTCTTCTGCCCTGATTCTAGTCTGGCCTTTGCAAAATGCCAGT